ATTTCCATGAAAGATGTCGAGAGATGGCAATAACTTATAGATCTCTCGACATCTTTCATGGAAATCTTTTTTTCGTTCATATCTTCTCATCGATTTAGAGTCAAAATTCATCTTTTATTTACATGCCGCTAATATCTTTTAGTTTTCCTAAGTGTTTTCTTCACAACCCGTGGATTTAGAAAATAGATAGAAACTGGCCATGAAGGTACCGTTGTTTATGTATCACTATTAGTACAGTGATATAAATATAATTTATTGATTTACTCGTCTATATTTCAATCAATGGTTTGTTTTACAGACAAGGAATAAATGCTGTAGCAATAGTTTCTGGGATTGAATTATATCTCACTATGGTAATGTAGTACATATCCAATACAAACAGCGGCTTCCATTGACATCATGTTGTTGTCACTGATGTGAAGGAGGTCAATAACACTGTATCATCATGACTAATATTAATTACATTATCTATTAACTTACACACCATGCCAACAGAAACGTATTTAAGTCCACACCATACATAAGAGTATTAACGGGACATTAAATAGCGTACCACTGCATGATATATTGGACGGGATCTAGGTAAACATACCTGTACCTGTTATTATTACTGTCATTGTATTCTGATGATGGGCCTGCATCAGTGGTTCAACAGTGGTCTTGTACTGAGAAATCTAATACAATACAGGGCTTTTATTAGCTTATAACAAACTTTGGAACATTAAAATTGTGTTAATTATTTGAAATTATATTATTCTTGACCAGCTATTGTTATGTTATACAATACGTCTTTAAATATGTTCTTCATATATTGAATTCTATATCACAACGAAACAATTCAGGATCTCACAAGGATCAATTAAGTAATACGATCTAAAAATAGCACGCATTCTCCCAGGGAATTTATGGTACAAGATAGTGATGGGAGCAGTATCTCGGCAGCGTATAAGAGACTAAAACGTCCTTGTCATGATCTCAAATGTCCATTTAGGAACCTTTATCCTGGAAAAGGTGTACCACCTTATGTATATTCGATGAGTTAATATTGCATGTGCAGTGTTAAACGTAAATATAGGTTGATCAGAGTAGTGCCGTTATCATGTGAAGTGTTATATTTAGAAGATAATGTCAGCATCATGTGGTGTTTTATACAGAGACATGTTGGCAAGACTAATCTTATCGCCATGTGAGGAATCATGTATAGAAACAGATTAGGCAGACTAATGGCATGTGACATGTTATATAGAGAGACAGATTTGCAAGACTTATGTCGTCATCATCATGTGACGTGATATATATAGAGACAGATTTGCCACACTAATGTCGTCGTCTTTATGTGACGTGATATATATAGAGATATGTTGAAAAGACTTTTGTAGTCGTCATCATGTGAAATGTTATATATAGAGACAGATTTGCCAGATTAATGTTGTATCGTCATCAAAATGTTTAACTGTCTCCTTATAAGAGCAGAAGTTTGATATTATGTTTGAATAAGGTAAAACATTAAAGGATTCTTTTTTGTTCAATTCTTTTGATTTCCTTCAATTGTATCAAAAATAGAAATTTCATTGAATCTTGGTATTAGCACCATCTGGTTTCATTTAAACCAGTTTTGGGTTTTCTCGCCTCTCTAGATTCTAACAAGTTTGGGTATAAGCATCACTGACGAGTCTTAGATAAACGAAATAGCTGTATAATGCCGTTTTATTCACTATAGGATATGCTATATCCAATGCTAATTTGTACTGAAATGAGCTTTTTATCAGTGTCAGTAGATGCTGCAGTTTTATATACATGGTCATTAGGAACAACGTGATCGTTGTCAACACTGTGTGACCGTCAGTTGAGTGACGTTGTCAACAGTGTTACTATCTGTTAAGTGACGTTGTCAACACTGTGTGACCGTCTGTTGAGTGATGTTGTCTACACTATGTGACCGTCTGTTAAGTGACGTTGTCAACACTGTGTGACCGTCTGTTGAGTGACGTTGTCAACACTGTGTGACCGTCTGTTGAGTGACATTGTCAACATAGTGTGACCGTCTGTTGAGGGACGTTGTCAACATAGTGTGATCGTCTGTTGAGGGACGTTGTCAACAGTGTTACCGTCTGTTGAATGACGTTTTCAACACGGTGTGACCGTCCGTTAAGGGACGTTGTCAACACTGTGGGACCGTTTTTTGAGTGACATTGTCAACACTGTTACTATCTGTTGAGGGACGTTGTCGACACTGTGTGACCGTCTTTTGAGGGACGTTGTCAGCACAGCGTGACCGTCTGTTGAGGGACGTTGTTAACACAGGTGACCGTCTGTTGAGGGACGTTGTTAACACAGGTGACCGTCTGTTAAGGGACGTTGTCAACACAGTGTGACCGTCTGTTGAGGGCGTTGTTCTCACAATTTGACCTTTTGAGTGACTTGGCCTATATATTATATAATATTGTGTTCAGGAACGCTTTAAACATGCTTCGCTCATCAGTTATGACACCTGACGTTGTCAACATAATGTGGCTTTTGATCTAGAGCCGCTTACCACAAGGTGTAAATCTTTAGTCATTGACCGTCTTTTCTCTTGACGTTTCATGTTTATTCGCCTTCTTACAAATGTTTAATCCATATCGAGTACTTTTTCATTCCATTTGTATTACGATTACTAAACATGAAAGTTGGAAATCGTATCAATGTATATTTGAAACATAAAAACATTTACAATTGACTGACGGGTACCAAATAAACATTATCATGAATTTAACTCTGAGGTAAAAACAAAGTGGCATTTATGTCAAAAGAAATAGTGATCCATGTAAGGAGACGATTGCAAGCACCTCTCAGCAACACTTGGTATTGTCGTGAAGTAACTAAGAAGGCAAAGACAATTTGTGATCAACACATGGCGTTGTCGTGAAGCAACTATAAAGGCAAAGACAAATTGTGATCAACACATGGCGTTGTCGTGAAGCAACTATGAATGCAAAGACAAATTGTGATCAACACATGGTATTCTGTCATGCTAAAACAACAGCATTTATACATCATAGACTGGTTTGTTCTGACAGGTGTCTTTATCAAGTGTGAAACACGCTGTAATACATACTGTCATATCTCTAATATTTTACAGTTATCTTGTTTCGATTTTTACATGTATATTCAATTGACAAAGATATACACTTACAATATACGCTTTGATATTAAACAGCACGACTACAGTATCGTTATGATAACAACATAGGTTTAGTTTATACTCTTATTATCAATGATATATAAAGGCCTTTTCTCCGATGGAAGACTTCTCTGAAAACATCAATGTCCCTGCCTTAGATAACGCTACCAAAAAACTGTTCCAATTAACAATTATGTTTTGACTATTGTATAAAAACACAAGCGATAAGCACCTTTAAATATACATATTTAGAGTTAGATAGAGTAGAGCCAAACAATTGTTTAAACTGCATCATAAAGCTATTTCGTTCTTTTAAGAGTCATTATTGATACTTAGGGACTTAAACTTTAAAGCTGAAAAGGCGACAGAGAAAAATCCAAAGTGATCAAAAGAGAAGTGAAAATCTACATAAGGGAAGTACGTTAGTCCTATGATTCCATAGATTTAATCATTTTCATTCATAAATTTATTTATAATGCAATTCAATGTCACAATATATCAAGAAAAAAGGATTTTTATGAAAACAATAACGAAATGACCTTTCCATGAAGGCATGGTTCACAAAAAAAGTCCTCATGTTGAAATAACAGCAACAAGAAACTGTCATATATCGAAGAATTAATGCGTGTCGTTAGAATTTCTTCATCGCCATTATTATTCCCATTTGTTTATCATCAATAAAACTTTTAGAACGCATTTGTTACAAAATCCATTTTTAAAAATCAGAATTCTGTCTTTTGTTATATTACCTATATTTTTTCAAGTTAATCCGAAACATTGTTTGGTCCATAAGGTCTCTCCATCACGGATATTTTACATTATTTATCCGGATTTTTAGTTTCCTTGTTGTAAACGATACTGATTGGAATTAGCAGTTTTATGGGTCGCCTAACCCATTAGGTATAAATAAACAATATTATATTTGCTTAATCATGAAATTATCCCTAATGACAAGCGTCTTGTTCAATAATACTGGGTTACAGTATCATTAGAACGGTCGAGTGTATTCTTGTCCATTGATGATGGGTATCCAGAGATACAGGTGTGATAGTGTAATCAGTTACAGAGTAATGAAGAATTCGCTCTCCTGGAAAATACACAGCGTCGTTAACGGACAAATAAACATCATACGACAAATAAACTCCACCACTAATTAATGTCAGTTCCACTCAGGATCAGGCCATATCATGATATTTTACATTCATTTCTAATTGGTTCAGTTGTTTCACATCAATAGGTTACCTTACTTAGTAGTGAATTCGTCTATGTATAGTAAGACAAGGAAGACAATATCTTTGTATCATTAATACCTTGTCTAATGACCGTTTGAGATTTGTCGAAGCCCGGCCAACATTTAGAATATATAATATTCACAATAAGGGGAGGAAAAACTGCATGATATTATCCGAGAAAACAAATTTAAATAATTCAAAAAATTATATATCGACCTCCTAAGGCAATTCAAAATATACTTTTGTACAAACACGTGTCTACGTATTACTGATGGGTGTATTAAAGCATACGTTGCTAGTTTCCTGAATATTTGTTATATAGTTAATTGGTTACTCTGTAACTAAGGTTACATCAATGAATTTTAATGCCATTTTCGAATGTAATCTTGACTCTAAATACCGATAGTAACCGTTAAAACAACTGAATGCAATGTTTCTATAAAACCTCACATTACAGATATATGTCATTATAGGATATAATCATTTTACTTTGGCAATTTGTCTCGGGTAGTAGAATTTTCTAGAGTAATGATGTTGTACGGGTGATGTTGATATTTATTACCTGTTTAGTTTATATAGACATTAATCAAAACTTTAATATTTACTTTTTGAACACCAATAGTCCAGTTGCAGCCATGTCCTCTCCCAGGATCATCCAACTCTGTTTCACCAGACGCACCTGTTCTGACGTCAAGAAAGTATCCAGTTGTTGAGATGAACGTTGCATCCTGACTGTTCCTGATTGGCTGCACCCCATTTTCTTAAGATGTCCAAAGTAGTGAACAACAACTCCTATGTAGGTGAAAATGAAAGTAGCGCGATCTATATCACTTCATTTGTATACCTCAGAATCAGGTAATGCCACAGAAATCAGTCGAAACGTTTAGAACCGTTGACTAAATTATAATCATAAGTAACACAACTACACAGCACACCAGAGTAGGTAATAAAAACACGTCCTAGTGCTGAAGTCACCAACTTCTATACTCGAAGTAATGATACAATCGATTTACATTTCAATTTGCTCGTCTCAATAATCTGTGTATTTGTCATTATCCATTTATATTCATTGAAGAAACTTCTCAGATACTGTAAAAAGCCTATTGCTGTCACTTCGTAAGATGTAGAATTATCTTTCGAATCTTGAGTCTTACTGAGTATAAAAAAAATTGTAAGCCGATACTACGTTTAAGGATCGTGTCGTCCCACGCTTCAGCTTGTATAACTGGTTACCACAGTGTTAGGTCTCACTGACAGTATAAGTGTTAAATACGCCAAGCCTGCAATCGACACTTCTGACAGATCCTTCCTCCGTTAAACCTGTGAAACAGTTGGTTGTTGACGCAAATGTCTTTCGAGATATATGTCCTCTGAATTTAGCCAATCAGAACGAAAACTGAAGTCGCATTTATTTGTCCAGTGATCCGTGACTTCCAAAACATCTTTATCCTATCTATTAATCGGTCAGCAGCTGTGGCAGTACATACAGAGGTACTGTAACTATATTTGTCTGATACACTAGACGTCCTCCACTGTATGGACAAAAGGTCGCAGGCGTTGAAGGCAACAATTTATCGTTAACATGTCTGAAAAGGAGTGTCATTAAAAAAAAGACTAGTTGGGAAATGTTGACTGTACTTTAAAATGGTAGCACTTTGTCGTAACTACATTTTGATCCACATGCCTTTTATACTGGCACTAAATATGGTAAATTGAAGTGTACAAACGAGTTATCTTCACATACAGGTTTAATGTGTATTTGGAATTGCTACAATCAACAACTTAGATGACTTCAAATGTAAATAAGCTTTTAATATTGACAAACATAGACAGATCACGCCATGGTTTGATATTGGATTTCTTAGATGAGAAATTCAACCTAAGCATCATTGTTCGCATGACCGACGGTTGACATTGACAATGTTAATTACAAAATGTCCTTCATTCCATATCATACACAACGTTTGAGAACAATGTACCCTAATACAAAACATCTTAAAATCTGTGACATCTAAATAGATTTCGATTGGATAGTATTATCTGTACACTATGGAAACAGTTGTAAATGAATAGAAATCGAGATTTTCGTTGGAGACGTTGGTTATAAACATATTGTCCTGGGTTTCAAAGGAGTAACAACACCATGGCACAGGAAAACTTTATCTTCAACATCTTTTATAAAGAAAGTGTCCTGGGCTAACAGGAGCGGCAACACCATGGAACAGAAAAGCTTTATCTAAAACAACATTTATAAACACAGTGTCCTGGATCTAATAAGAGCGACACCACCATGGAACAGGAAAACCTTACCTAAGACACCATTTATGAACACAATCTCCTAGGTCTCACAGGTGCGACAACATTATTGAACACGACAACGTTACCTTAAACACCATTTATAAATATAGTGTCCTGGGTCTCACATGAGCGACAGTGCCACAGAACAAGAAAACGTTACCTTAAACGCCATATTTAAACACAATGTCTTGAATCTGACACGAGCGACATAACCATGACACAGGAAAGGTAGTTTAGCGCCTTGTCTTATTCTCTTATACTGGTTAATATTATATCTAATGTCTTAGACATTGTAAAGCTTGGTTGATGTGGAATTATACAAAATGAAAAGAAAACACTAGACTGTTTTAGTAAGCTTTGCATGTGTTACTTCCAGTCCTGTGTTGATGTAGTATGTGTCAATGTGTCGTTGTATATATTTGTCAGCAACAGTATTTCCATGTGTCATTTAATTATATATATATTGATGTATTGTATGACTATGTGTTTTAGTAAACGGATGGAAAATTTGATGATGTAATATTTGTTAATATTTTGAGGTAAACAGTTGGTATATCATTTTGTGTATATATAGTATATGTAAATATATTTTGTTAAAAAGGTGGTATTATTGTGTTGATATAGTATATGTCAATATGTTTTGTTAAAAAGGAGGTATTATTGTGTTGATGTAGTATTTGTCAATGTGTTTTGTTAAACAGGTGGTATCATTGTGTTGATGTAGTATATGTCAATGTGTTTAGTTAAACAGGTGGTAGTATTTTGTTGATGTAGTATATGTCAATGTGTTTTGTTAAAAATGTTGTATGATTGTGTTGATGTAGTATATGTCAATGTGTTTTGTTAAAAAGGAGGTATTATTGTGTTGATGTAGTATTTGTCAATGTGTTTTGTTAAAAATGTGGTATCATTGTGTTGATATAGTATATGTCAATGTGTTTTGTTAAACAGGTGGTAGTATTTTGTTGATGTAGTATATGTCAATCTGTTTTGTTAAACAGGTGGTAGTATTTTGTTGATGTAGTATTTGTCAATGTGTTTTGTTAAAAAGGTGGTATCATTGTGTTGATGTGGTATATGTCACTGTGTTTTGTTAAAAATGTGGTATCAATGTGTTGATGTTGTATATGTCAATGTGTTTTGTTAAAAATGTGGTATCATTGTGTTGATGTAGTATTTGTCATTGTATTTTGTTAAAAAGGAGGTAATATTGTTTTGTAGAATTATTGTTAATGTGGTGTAATATATTACATACGTCTCCATGTGTCTTTGTAATAAGGAGTTCTGTGTTCCAACAACACATTTGTAGCGACATTTCAATAAGTAAATGAGTTAATCGTCGGATTTCAATAGATAATCTAACGATTTCTAATACGAGTTCGCATCGCCAGCAGATACATTCTGTGTTAGACTGTAGTTTCACCCAAACAATACGATGCGAAAAGACATAGCCATCAGGAAGTTTCTTGGTGGTGATTCATGGCGAGTTAACATCCATGTAGGAATTCCACTGGGATATTCCTGATACAACCAGTCATTCATCTTCATATCACAGAACGCTGCGTGCATTGTTTATGTTGTATTGACAGAGATCCTCACTTTTTAAACAGTACGCTTCGTCAAACTCCGAACAGGCAATGGTACAATGGCAGACTAAAGTATAAGGATCATTCAAGCGTATCATTACCGTAAATACCTTAATGTGATGTGAATTAGTCTAGTTTACGTATGACCTATACAGCAATTCGTCTTGTTGTCAAGATGTTTCAAATATTTTAAGTTGTCTGAATCAAATTTTCAGACCTAAGGTATGTATAAAGATTTATTCAATGAATTATGGTACAACATTAATCTATTCCAATTTTATTGTGGAGGTTGAGATTTTAGAATTTCATTATCATGAAATATTGCATTTCCATTGAACTAAATGTGGCTCCTTTTTATGGTTTCTGCCATTAGAATAGCAGAATTTAGAATTAACAATGTTCTGTTTCTGATATATTGTCATACTGAAGCATTGCATATAATTTCATCAAACACGTATATTTGGTAAAACTATCTATAATCTACGCTCACATCTGAACCCTTTTTTTATTTCTTTTGATCTTTTTTACGTTGACAGAATGTAAGAAGGGGTCTTGCGTTCGCTGCTTACGTCACAACAAGAAATGGCGTTGGCTGTACCATAATATTACTATTTTGGGTTTAACTAATCAATCATTGACAAGGTTCTGCACTATAAATCCTGTTAAGAGTACACCTAAACAATTAAACGTATCATTTACAGGAGTTTGTTATAACGCTATGACTTATTCATGTAGGTATATAGTAATATATAGTATATATATAAGGGACAGGTTGCCTCGAAAATTTTACAATTCGCTTGTCCGTACTGTTGATATTAGTGTTAACAATTGTAGCTAAAATCCTACACGAAATACGAAAAAAGTAGCACTCATTTAAATATTTGCAACTGGAGACAAAACGCCAAATAACAAGAACTTTTACTGTAAGATAAAAGAAAGTCCCCCTCCCTTTTTTTCAAACCTATGCAAAGACAACGGTAGAAAAATCAGTAAAACTTGCGCTTTGATCAACATCTTATGCAATAAATTCTTCATGGATGATTTTTCATTTGATGTATTTTTTATACAAGGAAACGTGTGTTCGTTAATTCGAGCACAACTTCAGTTATCTCAATGGTTGCATCTAGCGTTATTTGTATAAACAATTCTGTATGTGTAGAATTGATTCATTACAAATTGAATTTGTTGGGTATTTTATTTCTACTGTTATCGTTCCCAAAAGGCCGGTAAACACGTGCATAACTAGTACCTGCAACATTGATGTCATTGTATTTTATAAAAATTTGATGAATTAAACATCAGTATAGCTAATAACGGTATCATTTATATCTCGTTCGGTACGAAAATATATTTTTCTTTGAAATCTGCATGTGGTATTTTTGTTATTGTTATAGTCAAAACGATAGACGACTGTATAAATATTGATACTTTATTGGCATGGAAGCACTGAAGGAAACACCTTGTAACCATTGTAGTTCGGTCCAATGAGCAGGCCATTTTTTAAATTGGCGATATGAGAGACAAAACTGGTCCATCATGTTCTTTAACGATTTGAGAATGAGCTTAGAACTACCGTTAACAAGAGTAAACACTTAGGCAAATATACCAACCTTAAAAGTGACAGCTTAACAGTTGTTTACAATATTGAAGCCAATTCATTTTATTGCTGTGTGTATCATATATCATATCTATTTTTCTGGTTTTGTTTTGTTTTACATTTGTTATTAAATGTAAAAGGTTCTTCAATTTAATACTTTTTTAACAGTAAATGCCAGTAGAATATGCTTCCATACTTATGTGTAGGTCTTGAATGTGATTTCTATGAGTCTCATTCATCTAGGTCGAGAAGTCATTCTCTCGTGTTAAGTTTGCA